CTCTCCTTAATAGCAATTATTTATTTTTAGAAATTTTGTGAAAACAAATATTATAAAAATATGGCAAAATCAAAATATGTAATCAAGAAATAGTCAAAATATAGATTTCGAAAAATGTACTCAGATCGGGGAACGGGGCATTTGGGTTTGGCTTTTTTGGTAATGTTGCATGTGAATGATTATACAAAATGCAAGTTGATACCCAAGTTTAACCAAATTAAATAATTTCGTTAATTGTATATCAGTTAATTTTCCGAACGAGATTACCCGAATAGAATAGTTGGACACTTTTAATACTATCATTTAAAAAAAAGAGAAATCCTCTTTTATTTTTGTGTCAATGGTGGGCGTTTTTTCTAAATATAAAATTTAAGTTTCTAAAGTAATTTACTTCTTGGATTGAGCTATAAAAAAATACTAAATATTTATTTTTTCTGTTAAACAAACCAGAAACTAATGACGATTTCAAAGTTGTTTTTTTATTATTAACTAAAATATATTTTTTTAGTGTCGCCAGGGCTTGCTTATTTCATGACTGTGCTTTCATAGGTCGATATACAATTCAAGCTGAGAGTTAAAAAAATATTTTTATTATTTTAATGAAATACTTTATTATAGGTAACGTTAAATTGCATAATCTCAAAAGCAATACTACTATAAAATTATTATTATTGGAAAAGCGAAAGAATTTTTTATAACAAATAAATAATTTTATTTTTCGTAATAAAGTTATAAGTGAATGTTAAAAGTTTATTAGTAATATAAAATCTGACATTGCGTAAAAAAAGATGTAATAATTTGTCTTCTATGGATTCTAAAAACATAAGATTATTTTAATATTATATTTCAATACTTTACAAAATTATATGAATTTTTGCAGTTTGACTCACGGATCACACATATATATTTTATTAAATTTATTAAATTTCCCATGCGAAAATAACTCGATAAGTCATTATAATTAATCCACCGAAATTATCAAAGAATCATCAAAGCAAAAAGTCATCAATATGAAACAATTCCCTATGGATATTTATGGATATTTATGGATATTTATGGATATTTATGGATATTTATGGATATTTATGAATATTATGAACATTTATATATATTCCTTTAACAATAAATTCAATTAATTAATTCAAATAATAATAAAATAAATTAATTTGATTTAATTAAATTTTTATTAAGAAGTTCTTTAAATTATCTATATATTTTTAAAATTTTTTAACCAAAAATTCCATATTTATAAGCAACATAACCAATCAAAACTACAAGTACAACGGGTAGATAATTGCTAATATATATATTAAAATAAAATATAGAAAAAAATAAATAAAAATGGTTTAAAAAAAAAAAAAAAAAAAAAAAAAAAAGAGAGAGAGAGATATATTTAATAAATTGTAATTATAAAGTTTCTAATAATTTCCCACCTTAGTGATCCACCTTCTAATGATGGTAATGGGGATGGGGATGGTTCAGATTTTGGAAGGGGTGATTCGGGTTTTGATGAAAGGGGTTCCTAATAACGTCATATGATCAGGATAATAAATAATTTGCTGACTTTACTTTATATCTTTATATTTTGATTATCAAGGAAACTTATTTTTTTCCATTACTAACCCCCACCGCTTCACCAATTACAAGAGATTGTAAAATTTCACGAGCTTCATCCGAGTGTCCTATGGATTCAAAAGAATCCGTGGCATCCATACCACCTTCTCCTATAAGAACTTCTTCTCCCCCAGGATGCTATCAAAACATATTAGATATAAGGTTAGAAATAGTTTATTCTTTACGCATTTTCATGCAATGTACATATATTAAAATATATTGTATCGTACGATAATAAAGAGGTAGAAGAAGGAACAGAAGGAATAGAAAGAACTTAAGAATATAAAAATAAATAAATACCTCATCTTTAAATTTCGTTGCGTCGACGACTTTGCCATTGATGACAAAATAAAGGGGTTTATTATCTTTACCATTATATTTTTCCGAAAGTTCGCTGTAAGTGAATTGTTTAGGCATGATTTAAAAAAGTGACAAAAGAACAATATTTTCATTTTATTAATAAAAAGTCTGTTATATATATATAATAGTTGGAGAATTTCTATTGGTCAAATGATTCAAATAATCAATATTATTTCTATAGTTGGTATTCCGAAAAATTGCATGTGATAAATAAAGTTTATCTAAGAGATATGGGGATTACACATATAAAAACGGATCGGCTGTTTCAAAACCCCATAAATATTGTGGTTTTTCTATTAAAATAGTATTAATAAAGTCGTTTAAGTTTTGAAAAAATTCATACAACGAAGTAATTACTAGTTAAATTGCGATAACTTATAAAAATTTGATCCAATAAATGTATATAAATTCAAGTAAAAATAGAGTGTTACATGATTCTTCCAATTTACTTAATTTACTTGACGCGGGTGATCATTATATGTGTAACCATAAAGTATAATGAATGAATATACATAATAGGATGATTAATTATATCGAATTTTTTTATTTATGAGAAATAAAATGTTCGTATTTCGACTTCATATTATATAAAAAATGTCCAAATTAATAAAATATATATATATAATAACAATATAAATTACTTTACAATAATTTTTTTTTTTTTTGCTTTCATAAAATAAATAATATTAATATAATTAATTAAAAAATATTTATTATTATTAATATAATAATTAAAATTAATAATAATTTAATAATTATAAAAAAAAAAAAAAAAATTATAATAATTATAAAAAATTATTCTGATCCTAATCTCTGTCCGCTACCCCATCGATGTCTAACTTCTCGACCTTCGGAAGATCGATTTCCCGAAGTTGGTGGAATAACTGTTCCAAAAGATGTTCTTATTCCGCCGCCACCATTATTAATACTCACAGGAGGAGGTGTAAAAATACGATATAACCATTGAGGAGTATTTAAAAATCTTGTTCCACCACTGGCTGGATAAAGATCATGTAAAAAGTAAAATATATGTCCAGTAATTATTCCAATAAGTGTATTCCAGGGTATACGACCTCCCATTTGTAAGAAATCAAATATTAAAAGAACCCAAGGAAAATATGCTCCCTTTAAATAATGATTATAATAGAATTATAATAGATTGATTTTTAATAATTATTCCTTCATTCCATTACTTAATAAATAATTAAAAGTTATTATTTTTTTTTTCACCTTGAATCTTAATCCAAAAATAAAATTTACTATTGAATCACGATTTTGTTGAGACCATAAATATATAATTGACATAAGAAGACTTTGATTAAGGTACCTTATTTCAAATAACCAACCGGCTATCTAAAAATAAATCAAAAATTCGAAAATTTTAAAATTAAGGATGAAAATCATGCTAATTATTATTATCATTATTATCACTATTATTAATACTTTAATAAATTATTAAAAAAGATTATTTGGAAAAAAAAAAAGATTCCAGGACAAAAAAGATACGAGAATTAAACCCGCTTCCATTAAAAGAAAATAAACATAATCAGCTGTACGTCCCGCAAACTTTGTAGTCTCCAAATCCTTTGAATATTTATATAAAAAGAATAGTTGTATTGCACCCGTTAAATTAAATGTACTTATGAAAAATGGCGTGTAAAGTCTCCATATCTATTGTAGGATTTGAATAAAGAATAATGAATGAATAATGAATAATGAATTATTAATTAATTGAATGACATTTGATACCATTTTATTAAAACTTCATTAAAATTTCATTAAAGATTCAAATTTAACCTGAAATCCTTTATAAATTTCTTCTGGAATATATGCAAATAGTCTTGGATCTAACCGTCCAGACCATTCTATCAATGTTACTGCTATAAAACTTGTGAATAAAAATTTCGTGCATATAGGTATACTGCCATACCATAAAGCAAGTTCATTTGGAGGTTGACGCTGTTGACTCATTTTTTTTTTTTTTTTTCAAATAAAAATAGAAATTATTCAAATTTTTTTTTTATTTTGGTGGTTAATCAAAATTTACACCCAAAATTACACATGATTTTATTCAAAAAATTTTAAAACCTTTTCTTTAAATTCTTTAAAGCGAAAACTTTACAAAATAATGCGTATGGTGAGTTCAAATGAAATTTTCAATAAAAATAAGCTTATTTTTACTGAGAAAGAGAGTCAATGAATGATTAAAGGGTGAAAAGATAGTGTAATTATGTATTTGAAACCTAAATTTTTATTCATAGCTCAATCAAGACGACGAAGTTGATGCGGAAGTTACGTGGGAGGATCAACAACAAATAAATTCATTTAGTAAATTGAACGCAAAATATTCTGATTTAGAGGAAGCATACAATGCGAAGAAGGTAATAATAATATAGATAAGGTACAAAAAATTACGTGTACTTTATATTGTTTTTTAATTAATGACTAAAAAAAAAATCAATAATTTTTATACTCGATTTATTTATAACAATATAATAAAGCAAGAAAAAGAAGCTCTCGATGATCTATCTTCAGAATTGGAACTTGTGGATGAAGATGAATTAATCAAGTAATAATAACTTTATAAAACAATCCTTCAAGTTTTTTTTATTTTATTTATTTTTGAGCATCAACCAAATTGAATTTTTTTTTTCCTTATTATTATTACAATAATAAATAATAATAATAATAATAATAATAATAATAATAATAATAATATAATAATATGTAAAAGGTATAAAATAGGTGAAGCTTTTATGTCAATTCCATTAGAACAAGCACAACTTCGTATTGAACAAGAACAAAGTTTTATATCAGAAGAATTGGGGAAATTCAAAGAAGAAATGGATTCTTTAAATGAACAAATGGGAAAGCTTAAAGGGATTTTGTATGGAAAGTTTGGTAAAGCTATTAATTTAGAAAAAGATTAAATATATGTATATTTTTTTTTTTTAATTTTTTCGTGTTTATACTATATTGAATTGTTGTTATTGAAAAATCTTTGAAAAAATGAATGTGAGTTTGACTTGTCTTTTACGTTAATAAAAAAAATCGTATCTTTTGATAACTAAAATGTTTTATTCCTTTTTTTTAAGAATGCAAGTTACTTGACTAGAATCAAATAATATAATTATTTCTTTGCAATAAAATTTTCCTCATCTCTGCCATTTCTCTGCCACTTCTCTACTACTCTGCTATTTCTCTGCTACTTCTCTATCTCTAATATCACCTCTAATACCTTTCTATTATCATCTCTACTATCTCGACTACTACTATCATCTTTTATTATCTTCTCTACAATCTCTATCATATAACAAAATTATATATTTCTTTCATGGGTTTTCCTTCGGAACATCTAATACATACTGTGAATCAACTAATCGTTCAGCATTTCCATCATCTTCAAAAGTAAGTTTATAACGTGGTGATTTTGATTTTGGGGTTAATTTACTTGGTGGAGTTACCACAAATGCTCTATAAAAACAAGTTGTACTAGGAAACAATGCAAAAACTAAATGTGAAGTAGGAAATTCTGGTAATTGCATTTCACCAGGATTGGGAATTTCTATAACATTCTTAGCGAGAACGGTAAAACGTCTAAAAATTATTATTATTATTATTATTATTATTATTATTATTATTATTATTATTATTTATTATTATTATAATTTAGGGATTATCTGTAAGTCCTGTAAGTAACGGGTTCAACAATGACAATATCAAAAACAATAATATATGTGTTATTTAACTTACTCTCCAGGTCTATTGGATGCCTCATCTTTATCAGCATCTTCTACTTCATATCTATATTTTCATAAAATTAAATAATAAATAAATGAATAATAATATAAATGAATAATAATATAAATGAATAATAATATATATGAATAATAATATATATGAATAATAATATATATGAATAATAATATAAATGAATAATAATATAAATGAATTAATTTACTGTTTAATATCAGCTCGGTAACCAACAACTGTTGCTAAGATCCAATTCTCTTCTGGATCTTTGGATTTTGGTGTTTTGGCCGCAACCTATGATATAAATAATATTATTATCTTTTAAATAATTATTAACAACAATATTAAAAGAAAGAATCCTTACAGGTGTCCCATTCTTTATAATATTTCCACTATTTTTTGGTAAAGTTCTGATATAAAATGAATATTAGTTAAAATAATAATAAAAAGTACAGGACACTCACACAAAACGCACATAGTACATACACCTTTGTCTTCTTTAACTGTTTCTTATCGTTATTCCCTATTATTGTCCCTTCATGATCCCGCTTTTTGGATCTTTTATATGTTTCTTCACTTGTAAATTTTGGAGCTAACAAAATTAAATTATTAAAATTATTAAAATTATTATTATTATTATTATTATTATTATTATTATTATTATTATTATTCTTATTCTTATTATTATTATTATTATTATTATTATTATTATTAAACTATTCTATTTCAAATATAAACAAAAGAAATTGCATACTTTGTGATAACACTTTTGTAGCTTGTGCGTGTAATGCAAGTAATTTATCAATGTCTTTACTTATTGTTTTAGCCATTCTTAATAAAAATATAATAAAAATATAATAAAAAATATAATAATAATAATATAATAATAATAATATAATAAAATATAATAAAATTTGAATTATTTAAATTATTTAATTATTATTACATTCAAAAATGTCATCTTATATAAATTAAAAGCCTACTCTTCTTCTCGAACTGACTGGTCAATAGCCTTTTTATATAATACTTTAAGTTGATCTCTAACCTCTGGTACTACTTTACAAGCTAATGAATGTTTATAAATATAATAAATATCATGAATGTTTTTTTTAATTTATCAATCGAGACAAGACAAATAATATATATTTTATTCTACTTTGATGAATTGTGTCATGATAATGATTTATAGATTTAAGTAATTCAACCCCCTCATCTTCAATTTGTTCTAGTTTGATTAGATTATTATTTATACGAGCGACCAATGCATCTTCGTCTTCTGAAATGCGTGAAGAGTCTTTACGATAATCCATTATAATAATAAGTTTTTTTTTTCAAGTGTTGATAATAGCATGGGGAAGTCTAGATTTTGATCGGCATGTTACACAGCTATTTATATTCGTGAATTATGATCGTTCCTATAACAAGTCACCAGATTGAATTATGATCATTCCTATAACAAGTTACCGGATTGATTAAAATAAATATTTATTAAGAATTTACTTAGAAGTGTTTTTTCATAACAATATAAGCTATATAAAATTATTACTGCAAGTAGGAAATGTCTAAAGCAGTGTTGTTAATTAGAAGCTTCCAATCAATTTTATTGAAATTGGAATATCTTTTGGAATTTTCTGGAAGAATTGAAATTGTAAAGTTTCCAATCTGATATTTTTAATTGGAAGTTTCCAATAAAAAAAAATCAATTGGATTGGAATGTTCCAATATTTTATTTGGAACATTGTTACTATTTTTTTTTATCCTCTTCATTGTTATTGTATTTTTACTCTCGTTCATCTATCACATCCCATTATCTTTAATTCTTGTCTATATAATTTCCCTTTTAATTGTCACCACTATACTTGCACGCAAAATTATTTTGGGGCCCCGAAATTGCAATTTCAAGGAAAAAAGTCAAAATAGTTTTTTATAGAAGACGAAATTATTTTACTTAAAACCCGAAATTTTTTGACCACCCAGATTTATTCTTTGATTAAAGATACATATAACTAGGTACTTTTTTTACTTCCATATATAGAATAGATTTGCATAAATCTCAAAAAGTCGAAATACCTCAAAAATCCAAAATCAATTTTGGGAACATGTATAGTCACCACTCCCCTTCTTTTCCTTTTTTCTTTTTTCCTAATATTACTTATCAACACTTATTATCATTTACCTTCGCTTATCCACTTATCTTGTTCTTCACCTTTCCCTCCATTCTGAATTCACCCTAAAAATCTTGATTCTTTATTCTCTTTTCTCACCTATATTTATAAATTCTTTTAGCTGTACCAGTAACATGCCACGTGACTTCTGATATACTGTGAATTGCAGATGCTGCAGTCTACTGTGGATTACTGCAGAAATTATCATTTTGTTTAGATGGTGACTACTCTTCCTAACGAAAGACCACTCATCAAGATGAAAATACTAATGTTTTGAATTATCACCACCTTCACAGTAACCAAGAAGCTAAGCAAAATCAGAATTCAGTATATTTTATTATTTTCTTTTTTTTTTTTTTCTTTTTTCTTCTTTCATCATGTAATCAATTAATAGATTAATTTATATTTTTAAAATAAAATTGAAATAACTATAAAAATAACTTTAATTTTTCTTTCTCATATATCATGAAATCAATTAATCAGTAATTAATGAATTATTAAATATCAATTAATATTAGTATTATGAACTTTAATTAATCCTTTAGATGATTCTTGAGTGAAATTAGAATAGATACTTTATTTTCTTTATTTCTTCTTGCACTTTCTTTATTTTCTTAATAAAATCTTTATTTTATCTATAAATAAATTATATACATGTTTACTTCTCTCCTTACATTCATTTATAAATTATAAATAAAGTCTATATTATATAATCCAAAGTCTTAAAATAAACTATTGATCTTTAATTCTTTGCTCAAACTGTCACGTGACTTAACCAGAACTTATTTTTTTCATTTTTTGAACCCATCTATCTTTTAAATCCTTACAAAGTTCTAACAAAACTATTTCATTTTGTTTCTTATTTCCTTTAGATTAGAATTTGTCATATTTTTTCTTTTCTATATTTACTATTCTTTCTTTGTAATTATCCCAGTTTGTCTTTTTCTTGTTTTATCTAGTTTCTTTACTTTTATTGTCCTATGGTATAGAATATACTTGCACGCAAAATTATTTTGGGACTCCGAAATTGCAATTTCAGGGAAAAAAGTTGAAATAGTTTTTCATAGAAGACGAAATTATTTTACTTAAAACCCAAAATTTTTTGATCACCTAGATTTATTCTTTGATTAAAGATACATATAACTAGGTA